AAAAAGCGGGTATGGTTTTCATGTCTGGTATGTGATGTGATGAAGAGACGAGAGGGAGAGGGAGAGAGAGAGAGAGTGTGTGAAAGTGAAGAGGAAAAGAGAAGGGACGGAGGGACCTCACTGCAAATTGGCGTCCGTGAATGTAAAATTTACCGGCGGCCGCAAGAAATCAACCGCTGTCCCGGTCAAGTTCATGGTTCATACAGAGTACAGATTCGCTCTGATGGGTCCGCGCTCTCACAATGTCGCTTCCTCGTCTTTAGAGGAGATATGAAGGAATGAAGTGCTTTACCTCCACAATTTAAAACCCCTAACATCTTCGGATGTGGCGTGACCGGTCGAACCTCATTCGGAGCCTTCCCCGGAGATGTGGCATGGCCGGTCGAACCTCATTCGGAGCCTTCCCCGGAGACGGGCTGGCCTGACACATCCGTGATAGTCTGATGAGTGACGCCACCACCATCAAGATGCAGTGGTAGATGCCCTCAATTTTCTGGCTACTATGCTCATCATCGTTGCCGTAACCGATAAAAGAAGAAAAAAAGAAGTAGAAGCGATATCTGCACTAATAACTTTGAGAGAAAGTTCCTCTGCTCGCTTCAGAACATTTTTCTTGAGTTTCTTTAGACTCTTCCTTAAGGACAGTAAATCATCGCAGTGTTCAATATCGCATCTGATGTCGTTTGCGCAAGTAAGTTGCCGATGATCTTCTCACTGGCCAGGGTTAGGCTCGTAGGCTTGGATATGGGAGAATGGGAGGGAGAGTTCAAATCGTTCAAAACAAAGTTTTCCATTTTTTGCCTTTTAACGTCGGGACGGATAGAAGTTAAGTCCGTTATATTAAAGGAGTTGACGTGCACGCCTCCTATTGGAGGGTTCACGGGCTCCGTGAATCTAAGGGTCCACTGAATCTGAACTTGGACTCCGTTGACTCTAAGCTCCAAGTGAAGGGATATGTTCAAATTCTCTTGGGTGGAACAGAAAATTTTCGGTCCCTTCGGGACAGACAATCCGGACTCAATCCTAACACCCTTCGATTCCATTCAAATGCCGACACGTCAATAAGATTACATTCAAATGCAGCGTCTTGACAAATAGATAGCTCGAGCTCGCCTCAGGCAGTTCGCTAGAGGCATTTCGCCACAAGCAGCTCGCCATAGGTAGTTCGCCACATGCAGTTCGTCACAAGCAGCTCGCCACCATGCAACACACAGGCAGCTCACCATCTTGTAGCCTGGCACCTCAGAACAACTAGGTGACATCCGGGACCACTTTGGCAACTACTTGCCTTTGCTAAGTTGATGGTGTTCCACCAAGCGTGGCCTGGCACAGGCGCGACCTAGTGGCCTAGCCCTGGTGCAACCTGGTCCTGGCACGAGCTGGCAGCCTAGCCCTGGCGCGAGTTGGCAGCCTGGCCCTGGCGCAACCTGGCCCTAGCACGAGCTGGCAGCCTGGCCCTGGCGCAACCTGGCCCTGGCACGAGCTGGCGGCCTGGCCCA